TTCTGGCTGTTTGGAAACTCCAGTCTTATCCTGGCGGTCAAGACCTGCCCTCTGACCTGATGGATTGTCTTAAATGTTGCTTTTTTTTTTATTTTTTTTTAAGATCATAGCTTTAAAAGTGTTTGCAATAAATAATAACCGAATATATGTGCTAAGGCTATGGATGACCACCTCAGCAACAAAGTCGTCTGTATATCTTTGCTGCCAGCTTGTGATTGGCCAGATTTTGGCAAATCATTCAGGTCAGATGGAGCCCATGAGCGCACCCAATGCACACGCCATCACACCACAGATCATTTATATCTTTACAGAACAAAACATTCCTCTGTTCTCTCTTCTTGATTTTTTAATCAAATTTAAGTTCAAACCTGCAGCATCTTGAGGTGCAGGCTAATGTAGGTGCAGTTTCTCATAGTTGTACATGCATTTCACTCCTGCTGAAAAGTTTGCATTATCTGGAAAACTACAAATGTTATTTGATTGTATAAGAAAGGTGAGATAAAATAAATATATAAATCTACAATGAAGCAAGGTTTCTTTCAACCCTCTATGGGTTCTGTTGCAAACTCACTGCAGGACTGTCAAGTTGTATTTATTTATCCCAAACATGATATGTAAGAAAGAAGATAAGTTTCAATAAAGAGTTTATACACTAATATGCTACAGTTTTATGAACTGCTAACATTTTTTTCAGATAAATGTTTTTGCAATTAAACAAACATTTTAGAGTGATATCCTTATTAAGCCAATTCAATGGTCACAAAAAATATCCAAGCTCTTGAGATCTCTAGTTATCACACAGGATGTCAAAATATGCAGGTTGTGGGAGAGGAAAGGAATGGAAGGGAAAATAATATTGACTTGCTACTAAAATCATGAAGTTCTTTTGGCCAGTGTTATGGGAAGAGGCTGCAGACATTTGGATCTGTTTTAATTACTGAGGACAATATGCTCAATACTCCTCAGTGCATCTAACCAGATTTTTAAAAGATAGGTCACAGCAGGAAACGAATCCTCAACTATGACAATAAGGCAAGTTATCACAGTGAAATATATCTGATGTAGATTTTCTGCCAGTTTTCTAAATATGGGGAAAGCAGGAAGACATACAATAGTTGTCCATCAAATGAGGTTAAAGGAATGTTGTTCTTGACCAAGACAATGACAAGAGAGGTTCTGAACATGGCAGTTTCATCAGTATTAGAAGGTAGGTCAAAATGGAAAGCACCAATCCAAATAAAATATTATTCTTAAATTGTAAGTCTCTTTAGTGAAATTAATATTGCAGCCACATCTCCTACATGTATCCAGAAAGTACTTTTCACTCATCTGATAAATGGTCTCTAGTATATGAAAGCTTTATGTTGGCCCTTCCACCCTACATACAATTCCAATATGAAACAGTGATTGCATAATAAAAGCCTTGTCTGGAAGTACCCACAATCTTAAATGCATAGAGTCTAACAGGATTTAATCAGAGGCCTATCTAGTCCAGCATCATATGTAACAGTGGTCAACCAGATGCTTCTTTCAAGTCTAGAAGTTGAATTAAAAAGTATTGCTTTTTCCATTTTTGCTCCTTAGCAGCTGGTATTTAAGATAAGTAAGAGCTCTTGATTCAGCAAGTAGTATATAGGCTAGTTATCAGGAAGAGTAGCTATTAATAAAGGTCACCTAATTCCAATTCCAATAATAACCTATAATTTGTTGAGATTGTTCCTTTAAATTGGGAAAGATAATTAATTGTTAATTTCTCAAAAATAGATGTGATGCTGATTCCTTTATATTCTTTCTATTCAGAACGGATTTAAGTTGGAGCCAGGTTAGCCAATATGCATGGCAACCTGTTTGTAATTCAATCTTGTCTTTACTATGTAGTGTCTTATTATTGTCGAAGTTTCTTTGTAGTGGATGAGATCTCTCCAGGGCTTCAATTGTGCTGACTTATCTTCATTATAGAATCCTGGGTATCCCATTAAAAGCGTTGAGGAAGAAACTATCAATGCTGCACATCATTTTTACCAAACCTGAAACATAATTTTTGTGAGCATTTTATTTATATCATCCGTTTTTATCAATTCTTTTGGAAGAAAAACACTTGTAATCTGTGGTTCTATCTGCCTCTGTATGTTTTCCAGCTGAATCCACTGTCTTGTTGGGTCTTCCAATATAAAGTGAATGATATGTCCCAAATGTGCTTCTTGATAACATAACTCTAGAAATGGAACTCTCCATTCTCCCTGTTTCTGGGGTCTATATAATATATTTTTATTAATTTATTGAAACATTTTTTCAATTTTACTTTGCCATAGCATTAATATTTCACCTGAACATCTGCTGGAAGAATTTGAAATAAAAAATAATTTCAAAAGAGACATAATTTTAACTGCTTCAGTTGGACCCAATATATTTAAATATTTCTTATTCCATGATTTCATTCCTTTATATCCTTTCATATTTGAATATAATTATTATTAAACATTTGTTAATGATTATATTAATATTATATTAATACAATATATTCATTATATATTATAATTATATTATATTTATATTAATTCCTAGATATATGAAGTGTTTGTGTTCCACCAGTATATTTAAAATACTAGATATCTTTCTATGTATTTTAGAAAAAGTATGAAAGAACATTAATTAATAATTTTTCAAAATTAATTAATTTTGAAAATTTATTGTCAATTCTCATACTTCTATAGATTCTTCTAATTCAATCTTAATGTATTTGGCTGAATTAGTAAGATTTGCAAAAGTTTATATTATCTCTGAGACTTGAGAAGACAGTTATTTTAGTTTATGAACTTGTTCAAACATACCTGTCAAGTCCTATCAGATTAGCTGATTTATCTCATTATGCCTTCCAGTTGCTTAATTAAATTCCTACTGAGTCAATTTCAGAGCTTCATCCAAATCATTTCTACCCGCTCTGTTGAACTGTCCTCCTCTGCCACCATTTCTTCATTACTAGAGTGATGTGCCACAGTGTGACACAGGATGATCTAGCCAACTAAGGTCCTTGAACTTGCAAATCGGGAGAGGGCTGTCAGGTGCTTCCACTCAGCAGCAATTCTTGTTTCATAGCATGTGTGTGTGAATGTGTGACAGAGAGAGGGAGAGAGAATTGCATGATGCTGTGTATCTAATAGAGAAATTTAAGAGGCCTTCTCAACCAGAATTAAGCTCTTCCAGATTGAGGGGCAGGGGACAAGAGGGGGCAAATGACATCATGAGCATCATCACATCATCTGTATATGATGCATATGTACAATTGGTGCCATTTGTATAAAGTCATGATGATGTCATGATGATGTCAAGGTCAACGTCATTTTACTGGATATCCATACTCTTCTACTGGATACCCATACTCTTATTTCTTTGTCATTCTTGAGTTTATCTGTTGTTTGTGCAGCTTCATTCACTTGCTTCAACTAAGAGGGCCTAGCAACTGCTTATTGTACAAGATAAGAAAAATACACAATTGGCTTAATTTCACTATGTTTTTTTTTAATTCAAATGTAGCAATCTTTTTTGTTTTATTTTGGTTTTTTCTACTTTCTTTCTATTTCAATAGTTGCTTTTTTCTACTTTGTATTTCAGTATTTAACAATTAAACAGAGTTTATTAAAAAGAAATTAAGAATACTATCCAATAGAACTATAAACCTATGTAAATGTCATTCATTGCTTATATTTAATTAAGTAATTAACTAATTTATTGTGCAGCACTGAAAACGTACACACCCCTAATGCATAATCTTCTGTTACTTCCAGTAACAAATCAGTTGTTTCAATTGGGTGCTCCAGCAGAGGTCACTTTCACATCACAAGTTTGTCCTGACCACTGCTGCACACCAAAAAAAATTGTTACCATAGACAACAGTATTACGGTAACATGCATAATCAACATTTAGGAGATATCCAAATTTATAAAATAATGCAATGCTGTGAATACCAACATTGCCCGTATTATGGAGAATTGTGTTTAAGAGATAAGGAGAATAAGTTTAGTTAAAAGTTAATGGCAAGTTGCAGTACTAATTCCCAAGTTTTGAAGGGAAAGCTACTCTCAGAAGAATCTCCATTCTCTTCCCTATTCTAAATACAACATATTCACTTGGAGCAGAAAGGGAGTCAATATGACAAGCATTAGGACCACAGCTGGTCTGGAAATTACTATTTCATACCCTTAAGATGTCTTTATTATATTATTATGGCACTAGTGTGATTAAAGCTTTGCCTAGGGAGCCTCTGAAAAAAATATGCCCACCATGAATAAAACCTAACTTGCACTGAATAGAGTATTAGAAAATTACAATTATAAAAAGTTGCTGTGTTTAACTTTGGCACACTCCCACAACAGGTTGGTGGTATGCACAATTATTTTATTATTTCTCAGTTATTCAGCCATCCCTAGCAATCACAAGAGAAATTAAATTGAAGGAAAGAAATATGTACATGATTCTATATTGTGAAATACCAGAAGACTTCAGAACCCACCGTGCTATTAAAGAAATGAATATGCCTAACCTGAGATATAGATGATCTGATATTAAGCCCAATTCATATCTCTTGTTTTGAAGCCAGGTTCCTATAGTTCACATACAATTCTTATGCACTCAAGCAACACTTCAGAGCCTTTATTAAACCACTTCCTGATGGACACATGTCTTTGTAAGAGGAAGGAGGGACAAATGGCTTGATGTTTCACCTAGTTCCACATTACCATTATTACATTTTCCCATAGTATGGAGAATTTCTGGACAGGCAGGTACTGTAAGTGGTGAGAAGAAGTCTTTTTTTGCCTAACTCTGAGGATGAAACAGCTGTGGAAAGCAAAGTAGCACAGGAAGAAAGGAAAGTGGCAAACTCTGCTTATTAAAGTAGATGTAACTGATGGAATGCTATTCTTGATGCCAGCATATACATCAGGTACCAGTCAGAGTATTGCTGATGTCCAGAAAGCCAGCTTCTCATCTTCCTCCATGCTCACACCCAGCGCCGTGCTCCAGTGCTGCTGTCAAACAGGTAATATTGGCCAGAGACTTGAGACATAAAACAAGAGACAGTGTTAGTTTTTTGCCTGCTTTAGCCTTACCTTCCTGTCTTTTGCCTTCATTTAATTAATTAATTAAGAGATTTGTATGGCTGCCCATCTTAGAACACAACTCTGGGAAGCTCTTCATCTGCCTATCAAAAGCTGACTGAACACAGCCACGCTATCCATGCATTGTGCAATAAGTCAGAGGCACCTGAATTTCATAATGGATTGCAATATGTATCTATATCAAAAAGCTGTTCCTCTGCAGAATTTGGGAAGACAGTGATTTATCCAGAGTTGCTATAAACTTCACTTCTAAATATGGAGGGGGTTGGCTCTGTAACATTGCACGGACTAAGAAAACTCCAAGAGACCACAGGTCGGCATGCAATTATTTATCTTCTTTGCAACCTCTAAAGCGGGGAGCATCACTTGGCAAAGCTTCTGGGCTTCAAAGCTGCATAAGGTTGGGCCTGCTAATGCAAAACCACCAGTGAATACAAGGGCTGCAAGTGAGATTTGGAATTCAAAAAAACATCCAAATTACTACCATGGGTCTGCCAAAAAAACTACATATTACATGGAGGCACTGGAGTGGGGGGATTTTTTATGAATGGTTTATAGTCAGCTGCACTCCAAAAAAAGGGTGGGACAAGGAGGGGAAAAAAACCAGGCTACACTGTCACTCATGACACAAGTATGAGCTTACAAGAATTCAAGAGTTTCTGATAGACAATTCAGGCAAAACAATGTCCATCAGGCCACTAAGAGTCAAAAGTGACTGAAGAGCTGAATGAGAACAAATGTACATATTCGTGTAATAATCTATTCCCATGTAATGCAATAAGCTATTCTCATGTAATGAGAAACGTCTCTCTAGAACATAAAAAAATTACAATTCAGTGTTAACTATGGCGGGAGGGGGCACAGGCTGTGTATCCTTCATCTAAAGTCAGACTTCCCAGCAAGGAATCGGTGTATTACTAAGTCCTCTACAGAGCACAACAGTGGCATAAATTCACCATGGTCTCTGGCAATCATTCCCTATTATGTGTAGGGAAACCAGCAACACAGTAAAGGTCTTCAGCTGGCTAAGCTCTGCAATCTCTGCAGAAGCACATGACATGTGACAGCAACTGCAGCTCTCAGCCTCCTGCAAATAAATCCAGTTTTAGCTAAAAGATGAACTCTGGTATTTCCTTTCTTGCAATGATATACAAGAGCTCATTTATGGGGAATGGAGAATTTATGTCTTTCATTGACTGACTCTCTAGAGCTCAAGGTGATTTCAGAACAACTGGAGATTAAACTTACCAGGGTCTTGAGCCCGGCCATCAAACTGGTATTGCTATAATAAGGGGGAGAGAGAGAGAGAGAGAGACATATGATCCACCTCTTCTCAAGGGCAAGGAGCCCAGGAAGAAGCAAGAAAGCATCCTTGAACTTAACCTTCTGCCATTCAGCGACTCTCCCAGAGGAAGACACAGGCCTCATCCGTATGTCCAGCTTGCCATGGCACAAGGCACCCCACTGTTTGTCAAGAAGCTAATGTCATTCTCAACTTGTCCCTGGCCCACTGTGAGAGCAGCCTTTGTCAATCTTTTCTTGCTCTACATCAAATGTGGTGTTTTCTACCCCCTGCCAGCTCAAGTGGTGCTGTGTTATGGGCACTGTTCCACTCCAATTGCTTAGTGTACACAGTTGTGGGCATGCCCCTTCCCCACAGTCAGTGGAAGCTTCCCTCCATGGCCATTTCATCTTGGACTGCTGGGATGTCTACCCTTCTTCAGAAAGACTCTTCCCACAAAGGCCTGAACCCAAGGCACAGTCTGAGACATTATATGGATTCCTTTTATACCTGAAAACCCTGGTGTTTTGAAACACTGGTACAGTGGTTCCTGTAGGGGTGAGGCACAGGTATGCCACTGAATACTTCGAGAATTTCAGCTGATGTGAGCAGGTAACATTATAGCCATTTTTACCTGCTTGTTCCTTCCTGACATCCTACAGAGGAACATCCCACATAAATGCGTTGAGCAGGCAGTGCCATTTTGCCTGCTCTAATGCTATTTTGTGTACTCCCTGAGATATTTCTCTTGCTACTTACAGCCAGCATCCCCTTGCAACGCTTACTATTTGGGAGCTGGGGTGTAGTTGTCAAGAGTTCTGCCAGTTCCCTTTCTAGCCCAAGTGACAAGAACAAGCATAAAACTGTATATCGATTTTCTGTAAGGTTGGCAAATCTCTATCCAAAATTAGCCCAGCTAGTTGGAACGATGGCTGGGAGTTTCAAGGCACCCTATTCTTCTTCTCTACCCCACTAATGTGTCCTCTGGGCTATCTGGATAGAGGTTTACCAGTCTATGTGGATGGCAGACTGGTAGACAGGTTTACTATTCTTCCTGCCACTTGGGCTTTCAGAAGACCTGTTCAGAAATAACCCAAGTGACAAATTACTGATACAGAGCACCTCCATGTCAATGTCTTGCCACTCTGGAAACTTGAAAGGTGGCTAAAGTCTCTGTCCTAGGAGTCTGTCCACACTCACTCAAGCCTGCAGCACCACACTTTAAGGCAGCAATTGGTAATGGTTTCTCCCACTGACAGCTGACACTGGGTGGAAAGGAAACAAAGCCAGAGAATTTTGCCAAGGATAGTAGGAGAAGGGAGACAGTGTGGATGGAGAAGAAGGAAGATGGCTTTTTTGGTTCCTGCTCACTGATGGGATGGTGAACAGACAGCAGAAGTCCCACACGCTTTCTTATACCAGTAAGTAGCATCAAAGGAAGTGTTCCCCACTCTACTTTTCTCCTCTCCCCACATTATGCAGGCAGCTCCCTTATTCTGCTGAATTTAAATTGGCTCCCACACTGAATAGCATCACTTTAGTGCTGCTGTGTGGAACAGTCCATGGGGGACCCAAGAAAAGCTCTTGTTGCTCCTTCCAATCTCTGCCAGGAAGAGGCACTGTTACCATTATAACAGGATGGAAATAGACAAGCAAGTGCTTGGGTTGATTCTGTTTCATCAAGCAGGCAATCTCCTAGTTCCTACATTCCATAAAAGGCCATACACAGAAGAGTGCAACAACAGTGTGCCACAAGGATGACTGCAACTGACCAACTGAAGGAGACAACAGCAGCTTAAGCACATTAAATGGGGAAAAAAAAAACATTCAGACTAGGCCATGATGACATACCAGACTCTGTAACTCAGCAGAATCCTTCCCTGTCTCCTTACTTGCTTCTTCTGTCACCTTGTAATTTTTTCCCAGTTCTTTGCTCCTACAGAGTGAGAGACATTGGATTAAAGAAGAGCTCCTCCATTAACACCCTGATGGAAGTCAAGCAGGACCAGTGACATAAGAGATATAGCCTGGAAGCTCTATCACAGAGTAACTGATGCTCCATTCCAGCTTTCTCCAAGCTGATGTCCACCAAATATATTGAGACTGCAGCTCCCGTGGCCACGCCTATGTGGCTAGGAGTTGGGAGTTACAGTCCCAACACATTTAGCCCACCCAGATCCACCCACAAGTTTGCTAGAAGCATGCGAAATGAAGGTGTCGGACACTAGGGAGATCCAAAGTCATCCATAGGCCTTTGCTGCAGACAGATGATCAAAAAAATGGTAGCACTGACTTCTCAGCAACTGCAAAAACTTACTGCTATAGCTGCGCGTGTGATACAGTAAGAGAACAACATCAGTATGAAAACTGTTCTCCTATAATTTTTTAAAAGGAAAGATTGTAAAGGAATAAAAATGGCACAGAAATGAGGACAATGTCTGGTGAAATTTCTGCAGCTGGGTGAGGAGAAAGAAATGAGTGGGGCAGATTGAAAGGGTTTCAAACTCTGTGTCAGGATCCCCTGAGTAGTCACAAGCAACTTCGAAGGGGATGACAATATTTTTAAAAACCTGATCAGGCTTGTGCAAGTGACATGGGAGCACTATTAAACCTGTCTCTTGGCTTTGTTCTCTGTGACGTACATGCTCACAGTGGGCAGTCGCAGTTCCATAACATTTGAGAAGTCATGTGATATAAAGTTTGAGAAGTCATGTGATATAAAGTTTGAGAAGCCATGTGATATATATAGATTAAAACTGAATTATTAGAAGGAAATGGTACATTTACTTCTTGCCAAACCCTAACATTAACAAAACCATTAATTCCTGGAGGAACATATGGATTTCTCTTTCATTTTAAGGGGTCAAAATACCTCAAAGTGTGAGAACCATAGCACTAGAGAATAAAGCGTTGATGCTCGGCATATTTCATTGTTCCTCCCTATGACTTCCAGAAGCAGAATAATTAAAAACAAATATGCTGAATTTGCATAAAATATTCCAATGGTAGAACGTTATTTTTCTTAGAGCCTTATCCAAGCTGGCACAGAATTTCAACTCAGCACAGCCCCCTCCGCTTCACACTTGACAAAAGAACTCTTTCCTCTGCCTTCCCCCAGTTAATGTTAAAACGGGGTCTCATGGTGTGGTGTGTAGCCAACGGCTCATATCAAATGAAAGGATCAACACACACGTTTATAGACACACACATTTATAGAAATGTAAATATTAGTATGACCAGCAAGTCAGCCACTACAGTCCACAACTGTACAAAGACTGGAAAAATAGAACTCCTAATAACAAAAAAGAATACACAGAGTCAAACTGATTCTGTGATGGGCTTCTATTGTGCCTTTCTTTCATGCCTTTCTCAAAAGTAGCCATTTAAGTCTATTTAAATATAAATACACATGTATGTATGGTGCATGTATGTATATGTATATATCAACATGAGTTCAAGTCCATAAATGTCTGACTCATAGATCAAATGGAACAAAATGCCAAAACTACTGTAGAAATCATAAAGGAGTCACACCAACCCCAGCTGTAAGGACTGTGAGGTTGTTGTTGGCTATACTGTGATGGCTAGAAGTGTATATTATTACCACCCAGAGAAATGCAATAGTAAACTCCTTCCACCAACTGCATTTCAAGGCAGAAATAAAGGCAAAAGACAAAAAATAATCCCTCCATATTATCCCACTCCGCTTCCTCATTGAGTCCAAAGGAAGGCCATGTTGTAAAAAGTTTATAACCAATAGAATTCCCACTTTAAAAGCTTTTTTGAAATGTTGTCACTTTCACATTTAACCTTCTCAGTGTAACAGGATTTTACAACCTGTGCCACGTGGTCCTTCTCCAAATCATGCTTTTCTAATGGAGTCTGAAAGCTGCCCCTTTTGATACAGCCACAGTGTCATGCCCACACCAAGGAACTTACATGGCCATTAGATAGCATAGATAACTTCTTTAGATGAACAGATGAAAATTCCCTTAAATTATGAGTTCTACTATTAGCAGAACTCATAAAACTATTATATCAATAGCAGTTTGCGCAAATACTGTATTTACCAGTGGGTACTGGCCTGTAATATTTGAGCCTACAAGTGTTCTTTGCACCATCTCCATCCCTTTATGAACCTTTGCAGGCACCAAAAGAACTTTAATGCTTTTATTACTGGATGTCTATACATGATTAGACATGTATTCCTACATCCAGGTATATTCTTTAGCAAATGCCCATGTTTACAAATTATGTTTCTAATTCCATTGTTTAAGGTTGAAGGAATAGTTATCTTATGTTTGTTTGTTTGTTTGTTTGTTTGTTTGTCTATGACAACTCATAGCCAAAATGAAGGCTCCTAACTGATAGTTTGTATCTGTAGCTTATTCCAGAGCTTTGTCCCACAAATCAGACATGACCAAGAAGTATGAGAAATAATATTTCCCCATAAGGGTTACAAGTTATCCATGATAAGAGGCTCTTACTTGTCCTGCAGTAGAGGCTGAGATATCCCTCCTGGTGCCTTTCTGAAAGCCAAACAAGAGTAGGGTGAGTTTTCAGAAGAGATCTTCTATTATTTGAATGTGGTGAGAGCTTTGAGATTGTATGAAATAAACCACAATCTTCTTTCAGCTTGGAAGATTAGGGAATGATTTCTTGGAGTATATAGCAGATTGCAAAAGATGAAGTTTTCCAGACAGGGGGAAAGGGGCTATAGTATGTTCTTCCAAGTCAGATCATGCTCCTTGGTTGAAAATTGCTCATCTTTGGTTTCAATCTAGTCCCTTTTCATAATGTATCCTGAAAATAGCTGATGCTAATAACTGTAGTCATCCTGGAGAAGGTCCATCTAGGTGGTGGCTAAGAGTCAACATTGACTTGATGACACATATCAATCTACAGATAATATTAGATTTCAAGCTGAGTGATGCAGAGGGGATTTTGCTGAACACTCACCTCCAGCAGAGTTTCCAAAACAGCAAACCCAAGGCAGAAAATAAGAGAATTCCAGTTAGTGTAAGAACCACCACAAACCATGGATCTGGTGCCCAGTACGGCACAGTTCTGTGCAAAACAGTGGGCTTCTTGGTGACTGTCTGAAATCATAATAGTATAAATTTAGTATGCAGACACACATAGTTTTTTCAGATGCTAAGCTCAGCCTAGCCAAACTCTACCCATATAGCCCATAAAAGAGCTGAATTATTGGGTGCTAACTCTCCTTGAATTTTACTGTAAATTTCTTTTCAATCCATTCTTTGTCATAACTCAGTTTCAATCTATTATTCCTTATTCAGCCGGCAACAATGCTCCAAAAATGCCAGGGAATGTTAGGTCCTATACCTATTGTAAATTACAATTTACAGCAGCCCAAACTAGCATGATTAATGCTATAGATTCTGGGAGTTTTTGTTAAGAACAGCTGGAGAGCTATAGATTCCCAACCATGACCTAAAAGAACTGACTGATATTTTGGGGTTTGATTAAACCAAAATGCAGCGCTAAATCTTGTGACTTTCCTGGTGATATTGCACTTTGTATCATTTGACATTCTCTCTCAGTAGCTAGATCAGGATACTTTACAATATCATGATAAAACCATGCTGGGTAGCAGCTTCAGAGTCACTCACACACAGACACACATTCCAGATCACATGGAGAGGAGCAAAACTACCATAAAGTGCTAATTCCCCAATGCCTCAGAAAATATTGCCAAAAATCACAAAGCGATCTTTAGATGCCACTCCTCTGGAGGCATCTAAATGCAGTTTATCATCTAAGGCACTATTATGAAAGCCACATCGTAGTATAGAAAAATATCCATTCTAAAGCAGACCTACTTCACAGGCTGGAAGAACAGTCTGTGGGACAAGTAGCAAAAATGTGGCAATTCCAGTGATGCAAATGGACCAAGAGATTCTTGACCGCAACACATATGATTGCTCACCGTAGTAGCTGTGGTGGTAGTAGGCACTGTTGTGGTCCAGGGGGTCACATAAACAACAACTGTGGCTGTAGTGCTGAAGCGAGGTAAGCTATCGCTGTCTGTTACTTGTACCAGAAGCACAAAAACAAGAGGATCATATATACCATTGCGATTGTAGGAAAAGGTGTTAGGGAAAAGCCATTTTCCTTCCATGCGAAAACGCCCATTTACATTGCCTGGAAAAGAAAAGAGCATCAATGTTTTAAGAGAGCATTACATTCACTCCTAGTTTAATTATATCTTTCCATCAGAAATCCTGCGTACTGGTGGTCACTTTCTAGTCTCTCAGAAAGCTATTTGAAACTGACCCACAATCATCTTCACTATTTGTAGATCTCTGCCAATACCAAAACTCACTAGGCATTGCCACGTTCGCATCTGTGAGTCTAATGGCCACTGGGAACGTCCTGAGCCAAACAGTGCTCTCCCTCCCTCCCCTACAGCTGACAAGTAGAAGAGAGCAAAAATCCAGTCAGTTGCCCTCTGAGCTGCTGGCATTTATGGAGTAACAACCCCCCAACCATACTCCACGCAAAGATAAGAAAATAAATGGCTAGCGATCTGCCTCATGGACCATTTTTTTTCTAAACGTGTAGTTGTGTACATCTGTCTCATTTGTTTGCAGAAAGAGGCACAGAGAGAGAGAGAGAGAGAGAGGGAAGGAGAGAGAGGGAGAGAAGCTGTTATGGGGGAAGCTACATTGTAAAAAATATAAACAAATCCATCCAAACTCCTCCAAACTTTCCAGTTCATGGGTGTTCCAGTCCAGTGTTGCATTAAAAAGCCTCTATAAGTTGCAAAGATGGCAGAATAGCATGCCATTCATTTTTCAACAAGGCGCTCTTCCCCAAAACTGTAACCAGGGCTGCATGTAGCTATACTGGTTGGAATGATAAGTTCTAAATGTATGGATAGATGCATGAAAAGATGAACTCCAGGAAGAAGACACTGAATTAGAACTTGGAAGTGGTTTACAGCTGCTGTGTTATTCCTGGCTTGAGCCCAAGAATCAGGATGTGGGAAGAGACCAGATGGACTGTCCACTGCAGCAGGAATGATCCTACAAACGCTGGCCCCTTTCCAGTTCACAAGGCAAAGATGGGGTAGTTTTGCCACACACTGAAAAATGACCCCATCCCTGCCAGCCTGCTTCTTTTACATTCCTCCATTCTGAGCGCTCTCCCATTTGCAGGGCAAGTTGCCTACAAGGTCTTCCCACAGAAGCCCCATCATCCTCCATTTAGCTTGCTTTGAACTACAATTCCCAGGGGTAAGGAGCCCCATCTCAGGCCAGCACTGGGAAGTTCTAGAGCAGCGTTTCTCAACCTTGGCAACTTGAAGACGTGTGGACTTCAACTCCCAGAATTCCCCAGCCAACCATGCTG